GCCGGACAAATCACTCACCGACGGACATGTCCGCCCTCCACCTCACTCCGGCCAGTGGCGTCACGCCACGTCACCCCATCGCCGCCGCCAGCCTATCCCGAGCCGCCACCTCACCTCCCCTGCGCCCACTTCGCCGCCATCCTCCCGGAGCCCAGATCCGGCCTGCCCCGAGGCTGAACCGGGCCGCACCGAGCTCTCTCTCCGCCGCCGCTCGCCCCGGCTGCCCAAAGCCGCGCCGCCGCCACGAACTCCGTCGGCGCCCCGAGCCGCCCGCCGGCGGCGAGCCTCGCCGCACCAACCGCCGACGCCACCCTCTCCTGCTTCGCCTGCCCCGCCGCGGTTCGCGCCGCCGCCGAAGCCCGGCGCGCCTCCAGCCGTGTCCCCGCCGCCTGTGCCACCCGATGCCGCCATGCCTTCGCCGCGCCGCCTCCCGCGCCATGGCCGCCGCACCGCGCCGCCTTCCTCCAGTAGCTCCTGCGCCGCCTCGCCATTCGTGTCCTCCGGACCTCACCGGAGTTCGGACCTCGCCGGGATCCTTCGCCGCACCGCCGGATCAAGCTCCTCTGGCCACCAGCAGCTCCCTCCTCCGGCCTCCTTCTCCGTCTCCAGCGCAACTCCGGCCAACTCCGGCGAGATTTCGTCGGGATGGACGAGATCCACCCATCCCTCCAACCAAACTGTCGGATCCGTCCCGCACCGCGCCGTCCCGCTCCGCTCGATCCCGCGTTGACTTTTCACGGAGGTAAATTTTCACTAAGTCCCCGAAGTTTCCAGATTCATGTGCCCTTGTTCATCATGCCATAACTCTGCATCTGTTGCTCTGATTCGTGCATGTAGCATATCAAAATGTTCGTCTCGACGAGTACATCATTTCATCTCATTGCATCATTTTCATTTGAGCTCATCTTGATGCCCGAAATGCTGTTGGAAGAGGGCTATGTGATGATTATGTTAGATCTGTTTCAGCAAACGCACTTTTGTCATTTTTGCCATGATTAATGTGTGCATGCTATGATCCTGAGCTCTACATGTGTTTTGTAGAATGCCATGCCATCTTTACAGGGGTGTATGCCATGTATTTTTGTGATCTTTGTGGTGACTAGCACAAGCATGCAAAGTAGCGTAATCGTTGATGCTGATTTCAGGGACTTAGAATTTCACTAAGTCCTTGTCCTGATTTTGTTGTTATGACATATGTTCATGTTGTTTCCTAGTGATCCGTGCCTCTTTTGAGGATGATCAATAAGGATGTTTTGTTAATATTGTGGTGCTTTATCCATCCATGTCTTTGTTTGCAATTATGGAGCACCCTAGCTTGAGTCAATCGAGCTCTACTTTTGCTATAAAATGTTCCTGGCAGATTGTTAACATGTTTAGCAATTTTGCCAAGCTTGTTGGTGTTGATCCGTGCATGCTATATTGTTGTTCTTGCCATGTCTAGATCCTATGCCATGTCTTCTTGATGGGTTTATGCTTAGTTTGTCATGCAGTGCCTCGTAGTGAGTGCATCGAGCTCGTAAACATGCCTACTTGTTAATCTGTTTTGCATGCTCCAGTTTTTCACTAAGTCTGAATCTGTTTATGCTTTTGCTATGTTCACATGCTTGCTATTGTATTTTCTGATCCATTTTGGATCAAGGTCACTAAGGGACTTTTGTTATATGCTTAGAGTAGCTTCATGCCATGCCTTGCTTTTCCATGATATGTTCCTGTAGCATGTAGTTATCATGCTCTAAAGATTGCTTTCTGGTGATAAATTCCTGACATGTTAATTTCACTAAGTCTGTAACATGTTATCTTTTGCACTTTTGCCATGCTTGTTTGAACCTGCTATTGAGTGAATTAGCCGTAGCTCAGTGTTCATCTTTTGTCAAGCTTCATGTGTGGATACCTGCCATGTATTTTTTTGCCATGTTTGAGTGATGTAGCATATTTATCTTGATGCATTTAGATGGCTACTTGATGATTATCGCAGACCGGTGCCATATTTGTTTTGCTTGTCATTTCCAAACCGTGCATCCGATTCCGGTGATCTTTATATCGATTTCAACCGAAATCACCTCACCTTTCCAGTGGCACTCTTGGATTTCCAAGTTGAGGTCGGGTTCAATCATTCCTTTGCAAATCTTGCATATGCATCACATATTCGCATCCCGCATATCATACCATGTTTGCATCATGTTGTTTGAGCATTGCACGTGGTTGATTGTGCTCCTTTTGCTTGTTGTCCTTGTTTGGGTAGAGCCGGGAGATGAGTTCGTGAACGAGGAGCCCGTTGAGTTTGCTTACGAGGATCAAGTCAACTCTGAGAATTTTGCGGGCAAGATGACCATACCCTCGAAATCACTTCTATCTTTGCTTGCTAGTTGCTCGCTCTTTTGCTATGCCTATACTGCGATACCTACCACTTGCTTATCATGCCTCCCATTTTGTTAAACCAAGCCTCTAACCCACCTTGTCCTAGCAAACCATTGTTTGGCTATGTTACCACTTTGCTCAGCCTCTCTTATAGCGTTGCTAGTTGCAGGTGAAGATTGGAGTTGTTTCTTGTTGGAACATGGATATTTTGTTGGGATATCACAATATCTCTTATTTAATTAATGTATCTATATAGTTGGTAAAGGGTGGAAGGCTCGGCCTTATGCCTGGTGTTTTGTTCCACTCTTGCCGCCCTAGTTTCCGTCATATCGGTGTTATGTTCCCGGATTTTGCATTCTTTACACGGTTGGGTCATAATGGGAACCCCTTGATAGTTCGCCTTGAATAAAACTCTTCCAGCAATGCCCAACATTGGTTTTACCATTCGCCACCTAGCCTTTTCTTTCCCTTGGGTTCTGCAGACTCAAGGGTCATCTTTATTTAAACCCCGGGACCAGTGCTCCTCTGAGTGTTGGTCCACCTCGTCAGCCGCCGGTGGCCACCGGGGGAAACTCTGGGCTGGCCTACCGGAAGTTTGGACAATCTGAGTGTGCCCTGAGAACGAGATATGTGCAGCTCCTATCGGAATTTGTCGGCACATTCGGGCGGTGTTGCTGGACTTGTTTTACCATTGTCGAGGATGTCTTGTAACCGAGATGCCGAGTCTGATCGGATTGTCTTGGGAGAAGGAATATCCTTCGTTGACTGTGAGAGCTTGTGATGGGCTAAGTTGGGACACCCCTACAGGGATTTGAACTTTCGAGAGCCGTGCCCGCGGTTATGGGCAGATGGGAATTTGTTAATGTCCGGTTGTAGAAAACCTGAAGTTGATATTAATTAAAATACATCAACCGCGTGTGTAGCCGTGATGGTCTCTTCTCGGCGGAGTCCGGGAAGTGAACACGGTGTTGGAGTTATGCTTGACGTAGGTTGTTCTAGGATCACTTCTTGATCATAGTTCATCGACCGTGCTTTTGCCTTCTCTTCTCGCTCTCATTTGCGTATGTTAGCCACCATATATGCTAGTCGCTTGCTGCAGCTCCACTTCATACCTATTATCCTTCCTATAAGCTTAAATAGTCTTGATCGCGAGGGTGTGAGATTGTTGAGTCCCCGTGACTCACAGATAATTCCAAAACCAGTTTGCAGGTGCCGATGATAACGTACAGGTGATGCAACCAAGCTCAAGGAGGAGCTCGATGAAGATCTTGTCCTTTTGTGTTGTTTCGTCCTAGTTGATTAGTAGTGGAGCCCAGTTAAGGTCGATCGGGGATCTGTGTAGCATTTGGGGTAGTCTTCTTTTATTTTGGTTCCGTAGTCGGACCTTGATTGTATCTGGATGATGTAATGCTTTATTCATGTATGGTGTGAAGTGGCGATTGTAAGTCAACTATGTATCTCTTTCCCTTATGTATTACATGGGTTGTGTGAATATTACCTCACTTGCGATATTGCTTTCAATGCGGTTATGCCTCTAAGTCGTGCTTCGACACGTGGGAGATATAGCCGCATCGAGGGCGTTACACCTTCATAGACTTCTTCTTCATGAAGCACAATCACTCTTGGTCACTGAACTCATGGTAGATACTTGAGGTGATCTCCGAACCTTTATAGACTTCTTCTTTGTGAAGCACAATCACCCTTCACTGAAGAACTTGACACCTAACCTTCTAGAGAGTTCGCAGCTCTCAAGAGTAATATGTGGAGCGTACTGGACCTAGATTCGAGTGATGCTAAATCACTATCTATTTCTTTCGCTCTGGGATTTTTCTCGGTAGATTTTAAACTCAAAATCACTCGGAGTGTGTTGAAGCATGCCGCATTCAGCATAGACATATATCGATAGTGTGTTGAAGCATGCACTAACCTCAAGTTATCAAGGCACTGGCAGGAGCATCTTTGGCTCAGAATACACATAATTTGCAGTGCAAGAATGAGGGCAGCAAACAACACAAGCAAAGCTTACGATTCCTCGGATATTTACAACACACTTGGGCCAGAAAAGTATCCAGACTACTGAATACTGATACATGAACGCACTGCTTATTTAAGCCAGAAATTTGAACCAAAATACACAAGAATGGTCTATAGACATCAACATGGGCCATCACAAGGGATGCATGCGACGGGGAAGTGATGTCTAGGCGCCACCACGAGCAGCATCCTGGAGACACTTCACAGCGCTGTCATAGTTCACGAAGCCCATGAACCAGAAGTCATGGTTATCGACAGAAACGACCTGGATGTACCTCTCCGCAGGGTTCTGTTGACTTGCGGTAGGAGTGACTGATCTCAGGTGAGGTACAGGTACAACTATCTGCGAAAACATGCAAATATGAATATGATCAGCTGCAGTATGAACAATTGAACATGATTCCTTTCGGTTTGCACGACCCGGAGGAGCAATAAAATAAGCGATGTTTCAGTGTCTTGTTTAATAGCAAACCACTGCAGATCACATGCTCTGTTGTGATGCAATGTTGTGTTTTCTCTTCAAGGATAAGTATAAGTATGTAGTGGTACAGATATGAATAAATTTCGTTTCTAGACCATACAATAACTTTTTAAAGAAATTATAAGAACTACTGCACATCACGACGGGTACATACCTTGTAAATGGCGGACTCGGTCTTATTATCCTCAGTGACATATGCCACGGGGCTGTCGCTACAGAATGCAAGCTTGGCGGTGGAGACGTACAAGACGCCCATTATCGGACCATGAGAGGTCGAGAGGTAGCACGCGTACGCCTTCTTGAGCTTCTCATCAGGCAAGCACTCGAACGTCTGCTGGAATATCTTGTCGTACCCTCCTTCCGATATGACCTTGGATACCTGAGCGATCCTCCCCATTGCAGCATCCGTAATGCTCGGCCCGGTTTTCACTGCACAAGTCCACACCACACAGGTTCATGGGTCAGCATGTATGGAGAATTACTGAACTGAAAGATGTCTAATCCGTTGGACGATGTGGTTCATCATCTTGTGCGGTATATGATGTTGTGTTGGGGAATCGGGGCACTCACAGTGCTGCCAGACATCGCCGGCGATGCCCTCGGTCTTGCGCGCGGCCTCGCTGAACCTCTTCCCCACCGAGCCGAACATCTCCCTCAGATTCTCCTTGGTGCCTGCAGCAATCAATTCCCCAAAAACATCAGCGCAAACACTAACCATGTCGGATCCAGTCTCGGAACAGGAGCTTGAGCAGCAGAGAGCAGGAGGCGAGGAGATAGGTAGTGGTAGGTGACTGACTCTTGGCGGGCGGCCCGGAGGAGGGCGAGGACAGCACGTAGGGGTTGGAGCCCGCGGGCGCCACGACCGGCGGCCGCGGCGGCGCGAGGTCCTCCGGGGACATGCGCGGGTACGCCGCGCCCTCCGACGGCGGGGCTTCGGGCTTGGAATCCATGGGCGATCGGTAGGGAGGAGGAGGAGGAAGCGGGGACGGGGGGAGATCAGAAACGAGGGAGAGCAGCGGCAGAGTTGACGGCGACACGGCGACGCAATCAAGCGCGTGAGGCTATAATGGTGGGAGCGAACGTCCAACTGGCACAAGTAACCGACGCGCTCCCATTTGCCGCGTCGACACAGCGTGACCGCAACCGCCCGTGTCGTGCCGTTGCGGTCGGCTGCCGCAAACTACTGCCCGTTGTCCGCTGATGGCGCGCGGCAAACAGCCCCAACCTGCACACACACACACACAGCTAGTTTTTCCTCGTCTTTTGCCAGTTGAAATGCAGCTGACTACTGACACGCCACTAGAGAAAACAAAAAAAAAAAGGTAATGGGGCTGGCTTAGGGGTCAGCCCCAAACTTCGGCTCTCCCTCTTTCTTGGCGAGCCTGCACACATCAAGTTTTGGGCTCGATGCCTTTGCCGGCGTACCGCGGCCGGCCACAGGGAGGAAATGATCATCCCTCGACAAAATTACCTTACCATTGCCAACCAAGCAGCACAATGATCCAAACAATTTCCGTGAGGTGGAAGGAAACCAGCAGAAAGTTAATGTTTCGTAGAACGAAATCAGCAGAAAGTTAATGCTTCAAAGGTACAGATCGTACCATGAGGAAATAATGATCATCCCTCCACACAATTACTTTACCAAACAAGCA